CTACACCATTTCAGACAAATGGTTATCCAACATCTTCTTAAAAACTTCCAGTGTTGGAGCATTCACAACTTCTGGAGGCAAGTTGTTTCACTGATTGTTTGTTCTAGCTGTCAGGAAATTTCTCCTCAGTTCTAAGTTGCTTCTCTCCTTGATTAATTTCCCATTGCTTCTTGCTCTACCCTCAGGTGCTCTGGAGAATAGTTTGATTCCCTCTTCTTTGTGGCAAACCCTGCCTCCAGTCCCCTAATCATCTTTGTTGCTCTTCTCTGCACTCTTTCTAGAGTCTCCACATCTTTTTTTATATTCTGGTGATCAAAACTGAATGCAGTATTCCAAGTGTGGCCTTACCAAGGCATTATAAAGTGGTATTAACACTTCACGTGATCTTGATTCCGTCCCTCTGTTTATGCAGCCTAGAATTGTGTTGGCTTTTTTGATAACTGCTGCAAAAATATTTCAGATTTAGTTTGGAAATCTAAGCTTTAGAGCACAAATCTCTGTATTTTAGATCAAATCTTACTTCATAGGCACAATATTTCACAAAACTTTTACATTTCAAGTGTGAAAGTTCTAAAACACTGTGATTTTGGACCCAGCAAGATTAGAATAAAAAGTGCAAGCATTTTGTCTGATATTCCAAGACAATTTATCAATTTTCTCTCCAACTACTTCATGTACCAATTTATATGCAAGAATCCATCAATAATGTTAGCTAGTAAATGTAATCATACTGTTGAAATAAATACACTTTTTGAAGTTACAGTTTTTACAATGCAGGTTTATAGTTCAACTGACATTGTCAAATTATAGTTCTAAAGTAGCTGATTAAATTCTTTCATTACCACAATAATGATTCATGGTGATCGAAAGCTACTTATGGTATGGTTAGAATATGATATATTCTAACTTCCAAGCATCCTTGAGTAATGGTTAATATAAATGCGAAAGATAACAGATCAGTTTCCCTCAATATGAAATTGAAACATCAAAATGGACAGCATGGTTCAACCTCCCACTTCTTTCAGAATGATAGGAAGAACAAATATATCAAACAGAAAAGGATCAAAACCAAATAAGAGTTAGAAAAAGTTGCTGGGGAAAAGGGAAACATAACTTGCATAATTCCTGGTATTTTCAGTTAATAGCTTTGGTTTGTATAACATATTATTAGTTGGATCGAGATAGGTTGAGAGTCTGACTCAGAGTAAGGTAGTTCATAGTTTCATCTTATTTTTCAAAAGACATTTCTCGTCCCATTTCCTTATTAGAGAAGTCCACAATTAACGACCTTTTGTTTAACAACCATTCTAAGTTATGACAGTGCTGAACAAATGACTTATCTTCACACTTATAACCATTACAGCATCCTCATGTTACACGATCAAAATTTGGGTGTTTGGCAACCAGCATGTATTTATGAAAGTTGCAACATTTCCATTTGTGACTTTCCCAGCCAACTTCCAATAAGCAAAGTCAATGGGGGAAGCTGGATTTGTTTAACATCTGGGTGAGTCATTTAATGACCCCAGTGGTTCTCTTAACAATTCTGGCAAAAAGGTCAGAACATTGGGCATATTAGTTCAGATCAGAACAAAAGTTCTGATTCCAATTGTAAGTGGAGGACTACCTTATATATTTTGAAAGAATACAAGAAATAGGTAGTACAAATAAGAAAATGAACTACAGATAGAGAAATATTATCTAGCCATTGTGAAATGGGCAGATAAACAACAAGTGTTAAGTATCATCAAGCTAACATATTTTAACACATCATTAGAAATGTATAGTAGTATATTTTATATCCAATTTTCTAGTCAAAATCCATAAGCCCATTAGATTTTAAGCTAAAAAAAAATGCTTGGTTCATATTGTTCACATCATTGAAAGAAAACTATAGTAATGAATAATGCACTCCACCAATAATATAAATTATCAAATTAGAATATGGATTCTAAACCCAAATTTTGGATATGGTAAATTCCACATATAAAATTGCAGCTGCAGGAATGGTTTTCAAGTAGCATTAAATTATGCACCAGACATATGTTTAAATACTTAACTTCAGTTTTTGTTATTTAACAAAAAACTTTGCTATCAACCCCTGCTTAGCTACAAGTAGCAAATAATTCTGCTGAATGTATAGGCTATTAACTATACCTGATCTCATGATAAGATTCCAGACCACAGTTTTCCTCTGTAAGCCTTTGTGATGCATTTGAAATTAAGTATATAATGTTATATAGATGATGCTCTTAAACAGATTGTCTCAGTTGTTCTTAGTGATGGTTCAGGAGAACAACTGTTAAGATTAAGGCAGCTTTCAAGATGCCTTTGGAAAACTTGGTCTGGGATAACCTGTTCAATGTGTGTTTGATTTTTTTATTAGTGTCTATGTTCTCAACTAATAGCCTAGTTTAAGCAACCTTTAAAAGTAACTACTTCACTGATTATTCAGTTCCATAATTGTACATGTGCTTGCCCCCCAGCTTTATACAGACACCCTGAACAAAAGCAGAAATAAAATAGATCTTGTGGATCCACATGAGAAATGTTCTTAAGAGCAAAGGGCAGACTTACAAAAGAGTCAGAATTTTTGATAGCTAGCTCTGGTAAAAAGTCTTGCAGCAGCCTCTTCACCGGCATGCCAAACATTCTTCAAGAGCAGACCCAATTAAAAAGCCTTAGTGTGATTCACTATAATATGATAACTATTGTAGATCCACCATTGCTGAAAAACAGACACAGTTTGTTCTCTACCTGAGATGAATTAAAAGAATGAGGCTGCAGCAGAGGTGAGTTGCTCCCGGTTCGGCCTGGATTGGGCGAACTGGTAGTAGCAGCGGTGGGAGGCTCCGTCCACCCACTTTTGCACAAGCACAAGCAAACTGGTAGTAAAAAAATTAGAAACCCACCACTAGGCTGCAGCTAAAAATCCAGGACTACACATCAGCTTTATGTTGGTTTTTCAAGAAAGTAGATTTTACATTGGTAGCCATTTGGTCCATGCAGCATGTCCCATTCAAACTGCAGTTATGTTCACTAGGCATGAGAAAATGAATGCAGTAGAATTTCTGCTTTTTACATAACACAAGCATGGATATAGCTGTCTTAGTTACAGCTCCTACACATGAATCTGCTTTTCTGCTACTCTGCATTTGCTCAAGAGTAGCTGTACATCAGAGAACAGGACCACATACGAGGGTTTACCTTTTTGCAAGAGGAAAGTACCTGTTGACAGTGCTGTTCCCTCTGTCCATAGAGAGAATGGCTATTTTTACTGGACAAAATCAAGTGTTTCTGATATTTTTCATGCATTGGGACTTTATATCTACCTGTTTCTTCCTGCCCTCCTTCCCATTGCAGAATATTTTTAAACACATACAGCCTCCTGTCTTCAATAGTGAAAACCTTGATGGTTCTTATAATAATGTATTTTGTAATTACCTTAACAATAAAATGTCTTAAGCCACTATTGTTCAAAACAAATATTACAGATCATGTCCAGAAGAGGAAACATCCACAAGGAGAGAAAATAGCATTAGTTGTCCTGGGAATGCACCAGGGAATAATTAATAAACTAAACATAACAAAGATGAGATTAAACTCTTATGTAAGTTCTCTTGGAGTCTCTAAGCATAAACAAATGTTATATCCCTATTGTAGACTATTCTAGGACTCCCAGGACTTACCAGATCCGAGCTGAATAAATTTGGACAATTTGAGAGCAAAGAGATATAGTATTCTGTAGTGGTCTTTAAGTTTTTTTTGTACCACAAATCTCTAACCCTACAATAACTGGGTTCATTTTTGGATGACATTTTGTTAAAACCTCATGTTTAGCCAGGTTAATTATCAAACCTCCTAACATGTGGAAGCAACCTTGTCTAGGCATGAAGCTTAGCATTGGGGTTGGCTACTACTTGGATGGAAGGCTCGCAAAGACCATAGGCAAGACTGGGATGTAAACAATAAAATCCCAGAAGACAGTATTAACAAACAGCTGCTAATACTGCCACCAAGAAATCTACATGGACCTTAGGACTATGTATGCTTCAAAAGTAGTTCAGAAGAAGTGCTTCTACTCTGCGTAAGTTTGAGAAAAAGGTGTTGCTTGAAGAGCCACATTAACTTTGAGGAGTGAATTTGTTACAGCTGACACAGACCTTTTCAGGCTCATTTTAATGAGCAGCTGACAGATGTTTCATACATATTTGGTTCCACACAGGACTTCTGAATTATTCCTAAGTGCGCTTGGCGATAATAAACAAATGCAAGTAGTCAACATCAGAAGTTTGACTTAAGGACATCTTTACCTTTTGAATTTGTGAAGACCAATCTTCCCATCTTTTTATTTAAACTAGCTATGGAATTTTTTTTTTTTTTTAGAATGTTGATCAAAACTTTATAGGGAAGAGTGTGCTTGCTACAGAAATATATTTCTACATATATTGATTTTGTTTCATAGGAGACAATGGAACATAAATTAATTTTGCTCAGAGTAGGGTACAGTATTTTAAAGTATGCTCTGTATCTCTTCTGTCTTATGCTGCCTAGTTCAGTTCTTATATTTTCTGGGCACGGAGCCCAGAATTGTTTAATTCTGTCTGGAGATTGCAGCATTTTCCAGGTACTGTATCAAGACAGATGGTTGTTTTATAAGTTAATGAAAGATAAAATGAAAAACTGTCTCTCTATTACTAGCAATAACAGCATATTAAACCTGTATATCTCTTTTTTATATATAAAGAGAGAAATCTTTTTATTATTATTATTACAGCTACTGGGCAACAAAATATATCAAGCTTTGAAATTACTACATTTTTTTATATCAGTGACATAACTGATAATATTAGAAGCACTATTCTTCAGCTATATAAAAGGAGCGATCTGCTATTGTATATCAGTATTTTTATTCATTTAAAAAGCCAAGAATCTATTGTTTTGTTCTAATCATAGCTTTTAAATACTATTTAACATGACAAAGAAGAATCAGAACTTACCGTGTATTCTGATCCACATTTGGCCGATGGGAATAAAAGAAAAGGAAAAATAATGGCATAAAATTATTTCATTGTTCACATTGCTTCAATTAAAATGCAAAATACACTGCTAATTTTGATGCATGATACAAAGCCTTAAGAATCATATGGGTTGAACATAATTCAAAGGGGCACTATTTGTAATTGTTCAATAATGAATGGGCAGAGAAATTATTAATGGAAGTTGTGAACTGAACTTGAGTGTCATTCTCACATAATTTTGCTTTTCAGCTTCCCTGCTGTTAATGAAATGTTAGTTACAGAATTGTTTGAATGTGTGTATTGTATATGTGTGTGTTCATATATGTACATATACACCAAACAAATTATATACTTTTTATTTTATCTTAAATGCACATAAGTTATTAAAAAATTTACTGGAAAATCAATTGAATTAATATATCAAGAATACCCCCAGGGTTCCAAACAGCAAACTGCATAATAATTCAAGCTAGAGTCAAATGCTAGAGTATTAAAGCATTGTGAATTTGTGTCAAATGCTATCTTAATAATGACAAATGTGAGTCAGGCATAGTCCTTAGAGCAGGGGTGTCAAACTCATGTTGTCATGTGATGTATCACAACTTTTCCCACCTTCTCTAAAATGGGGGTGGATGTGGCCAGCGCAGGATGCATCTGGCCCATGGGCCACGAGTTTGACACCCCTGCCTTAGAGGATTGAAACCACCACTCCATGTCACCATTTAATTAATTAAATTTAAATTATTACAGTTTTGCCCAATAAATTATTCAGTTTTGTTTAAATTAAAATTGTTGACAATAATGATATTTATCTACAAATATGTGTGTACTTCTTTGTGATGGAATGTTATGGATTATACCAAAATACTAACACTACACCACCAAGGGAAACATAAAAAATTGTGCATGTGTATATGTAAGAGAATCTTAAACCTGCAGTCTCCCACAACAAATACAATAGAGGAAACTGAATTTAAAAATATTGCTCCAAAATGTCTTACCAATTTATATATTTTTTTGACAGCATACACTTTGGAGGGCAAGGGAACAATTAAGCGTCCCATCATAAATAAGCATGGAGAACATAACAAGCTTGCCCCAAACAACTGCAAAACACTTGTTAGAGAAGGTTATATTTTGTTAATCCTGTTTTATCTGCGAGAATAGTTGCCTTCCTTTAGGAAAGTAGATACGATAGTTTGGGATGAAGAACCGGACATGAAAGCTAAAATGGCACCATAAGACAACTAAATTCATGGGATACAACAAAAATCCCTTGAGATTCATCTGTCCAAAGTTTTTTCCTCTGACTGACAACTGCTCTCCAAGGCTCTACTTTCAGGCAGATGCCTTCCATGATACCTCCTCCATTTTTAATTTGTAAACTGGAGAAGTCAGTGTGTGCTCTACCACTAGGCTACCTTCCCTTTTTCCAGTGGAGGGACTCTTGGAGATGGTGCTGGTGCAGTTGGAAATTCTTATGAGATGGAACCCCAAGGATAGTTCCACACAACAATCTAAAGAGAGTAGAACAACAGAACCCAAGGAGATCATTTCTGTCCCCGGAGAGTAGTCAGGGCTTCATTGTGGCTTTTCGGGAATGTACACATCTCACAACTCTGGCTTCCATCCAGGCAGCACAATTCTCAAATTCCCTGTTAGCTCAAAGTTAGAGCATGTTTGTTCTCCTTCTCTGGGGCCAAAGAAACTCTAAGGTGCCAGGAGAAATATGCCCTTGACATTTTACCTCAGATGGCAGAAGTGAGAGCAGGGTTTTTATGTTTTATAAGAACACTGGGTATGCCCTGGACATGTCAAGCAATTTTCAGATAGGAATGGGGAGAGAGCAAACTGAGCCCTGGTACCATAAACAATAATTTGTAGTCGTATGACTAATTTGTGTTCAGCTTGCCTCTCCAGTTAGCAAAAGTTCTAATTATGAAGAATGGCAACTTGTCCTCGGATGAACTGAATGAAGCAGTGCCTGATCCTTGTAACCCTTACTAAATAATATCCCTGGTGTAATACAGATATTACATTAACTATGAGAGAAATCATCTGGAGTAACCAGGTGAATTATCAAACCCACTTCACAATTTTATTTAGTACACCACTTAAGTAGCAATGAAAAGAGTTGTGGGATGCATATCTAGCAAAGACTAGACTAAGAAACAAAATATGGGCAGTCATTATTTTTAAAGGGATTAGGGCAGTGGTGAAATTCAAATGTTTTTACTACTGGTTCTGTGGACGTGGCTTGGTGGGTGTGGCAGGGGAAGGATACTGCAAAATCCCCATTCCCACCCCACTCCAGGAGAAAGATACTGCAAAATCTCCATTCCCACCCCATTCCAGGAGAAGGATACCACAAAATCTCCATTCCCACCACATTCTGGGGCCAGCCAGAGGTGGCATTTGTTGGTTCTCTGAACTATTCAAAATTTCCACTACCGGTTCTCCAGAATCTGTCAGAACCTGCTGGATTTCACCCCTGGATTAGGGAGTTTTCTAATCTGTAATTTATAAAACTTTCACTTATGAAGGGGAAATAAACAACAATGACCAGAGGACTACCTGTGAATTTGTATTATAAAAATAACAGTTATGTGTGGCACTTTTAAGGCTATGAAATGTATTAGAGAATAAGCCAGCCTTTTTCAACGACAGGCAATCCTCGATTTACAACCATTCGTTAAGCCACTGTTCAAAATCACAAAGGCACTGAAAAATCTGCAGCTGAAATGGGAGGTAGAAGGCAGCCTGACAACTCCAGAATTTTTTTTAAAAAAAGAAATAATTTTAGTACAAGGAAAGATAAAATTGCTCACACTGAACATATAGTAAAAAAAGAGATAAACATAGGTAGTCCTTGAGTTACAACTACAGTTGAGATCAGAATTTCAGCTGCTAAGTAAAGCAGTTGTTAAATGAGTCATGTCCAATTTTATGACCTTTTCTGCCATGGTCATTAAGCAAATCACTGCAGTTTAGTGACCCATTTAGTCATTAAGCAAATCTGCCTCCCCGCATTAACTATTTAGCAGAAGCCAGCTGGGAAGGTTGTAAATGACAAGGCTCCAGGATGCCGCAACTATCATCAATATGTATTTATGCGCTGACATTTTGATCACATGATTGTGGGGATGCTATGACAGTTATAAGTGCAAGGAATGATTGTAAGTTTTTTTTTTAGTGCCACAGTAACTTTGAATGGTTTTAAGTCAAAGACTACCTGTAGTCTATAATAAAATAACTCAGTCTTGCCTGAGGGAATCCCTTCTTATCTGGCCATCTAAAAAAAATAATAATAATCTCAAATCTTTGTTTCTATTGGCTCTCAGGGATCAGGTGATTACTAATGGGCACAGGATGATGCCCATTTGCTATTTAAAGGGGCCACAGCTCCAGTTTCTTGAACCAAAATAGGAATGAAGTCCAAAATTCAGCTACCCAGGAAGCTCTCCACTGACAGGCCTTAATGCAGTTTCTATATTGGGGGTGGGAGGGGGAGAAGTTAAGAACTGAAATGAGAGCAGGTAGTTTTGGGGATGGGAAAAAATCTCCTATTTTCATCCATAATCTACAACCCCCACTCTAAAAAATGCCCCTCTTTTACATTTGCATATCTTTTTATATTTGCACAGGACATGGGAAAGAATCAAGTGATGCAAATCAGTTATTAGAAATTCAATCTTCAGAGTCAGCTGGAGCTAGTCAGAATTCTACCCGCCTGCTACTATCCTTCCTGTGCTCATTCTTGAACAAAGGAATTCCGAGGGAAGGCTTCGGCTAAAGTTCCATTCTATTAATTTGTCTAAATAGAATCCATGATTTCCCATTTCGCTGCAGAGGTTAATTAATTCAGCAGTGTTGTATATCAGCTGTCACTGCCATTATAAAAAGTCACTGTGATTATTTTGCTTAACACCAATCTCCAATCTAATTGTCACTCTGTGTAGACTTTGCATGTCATTTCCCTCTGATTTAACTGCTCACAATTCAAAACCCTAACAAATAATATATGCATACCCAACTGAAAATTAATATGCATGGGATGGAGCATTTAGTCTCTAAAATATTAAATGGTAATAACACTTTTAATCCAAGATAGAATAGCAGAATCATGTAACAACTGAAATAATTAAAACATCTATATTCTTTACCATCAAAACCCCCTTAAAACATACCTGTAATTGTATATGGGTAGTAGTTCCATGCCTTCTCTGTGATGTAAAATATTTTGGGGACAACAGCTCTTGCCCAGCTTGGAAGTTTGCTACAAGAAAAACAAAAGCTTGAATCACAAATACAATCCACCCTGTTAATTTCCCTAATGAATAATAATAGATGACATAAAGTTGTATTAAGGCTAAAGACATATTGCAATAGACTTATATATGGCTTCATAGTACTGTACAGCTCCCTGTAGGTGGTTTACAGAGTCAGCATATGGGCCCCAAGAATCTGGGTCCTCATCGACCTCAGAAGGATGGAAGGCTGAGTCAACCTTGAGCTGGTAAGAATTGAACTGCTGGCAGTGGGCAGTAAGTTAGCATGCAGTACTGTATTGTTGCATCAAGAGCTGCACTGCATTGTATGACTCTTGGTGGTAGTGCAGATCTGTATTTTATGCCTAGAGCTGTTTGAAAGAAGATAGGTGGAAAATTAATTAAACAAACAAACAAACAACTATGTATTTCTTACTAAACATTACAAAACGAAAGCCTCAATTTTTCCAGGTTTCTCATTCACACATTTAGAACTTGTACTGTAGTGCCACAAGATGTGTCTTCCCAACGGGACGTGTTGCAGTTATAAATTGAGAAATTGTTGTCCATGCATAGCAGCCTTTCTTTTTTTCACAGTGGCAACTGCTCAAAATGTATCTTTGAAGCTTAGTTTTAAACAGCCATAAAACGGGATTATTTTTCCCAGTGTCACCATTCAGTAAATATAGTTTGAAATGCAGTTTTATAGTTTTCCTGGCAGCAAGACACAAGTGATTTGGCCACTCCCTTCTCCTGGCCTTTTTTCCTAGCCTACACCTGGGCTTTCCCATGATTTATTCATTTATTTAATTTATTTAGAAATTTTATTTGCCTCCCATCTTATCACAGGCTAACTCTGGGTGGCTTACAATTGTTGTATTTGGGTCTTTTCCTTTGTAAGATTGAGATTATCTTGGCAACGTTTTGGCGAGGTCTCACTCGCCATCTTCAGGTTGGAGTTTTCAACTTAAAGTGTGGTCGGAACTGCCATCTTTCTCTAAATCTTGGTGGGGTGTGTGTGGAGTGCTGGCGTTGTTTCAGTAAGTGGATTGATTGGCTGTGTGACTGTATCATGATTGGTAGATTGACGCTGATTGGTGCTGGCTGTGTGTCTGTTGGTGTTTTGTGTTGTAACGGCCTGAATGGTGGGTAGGGCTCATTTGTTTACCAGGGCTGGTTTCCAGATGTCTGGAAGGCGGAAGGCATCATCATGTTTATTCATGTTGTGGGGGTGTTTCTCTGTTTCAATAGCTTCCATAATTATTCTCTTGTTGAAGTGTTCTGTTTTGGAGATTAGTTTGGTTCCTTCAAAATTAATTTCATGTCCTGTAGCTTTAAGGTGCTGGAAAAGGGAGGATTTTTTTTTCTTACTGCGTTCTTGTGTTCTGCAATGCCTCCATTTATTCTCCTGTTTGTTTGTCCAATGTATGTTGCAGGGCAGATTTTGCATGGTATTTCGTAGACTCCTTGGTTTTCTAGCTGGATTTTGTCTTTGGATCACAGAACACAAGAATGCAGTAAGAAAAAAAAATCCTCCCTTTTCCAGCACCTTAAAGCTACAGGACATGAAATTAATTTTGAAAGAACCAAACTAATCTCCAAAACTGAACACTTCAACAAGAGAATAATTATGGAAGCTATTGAAACAGAGAAACACCCCCACAACATGAATAAACATGATGATGCCTCCTGCCTTCCAGATATCTGGAA